GAGGAGTTACCTGAGAAAAACGGGAGGAAAACGGGCACGGAGGGCAGGGAAAGGCCGGGGTTTGGGATGGGCTCAAATCCCCAATCCTGCAGCGGTGCCAGAACCACCCCCGGATCCCCCAGCACCGGATCCGTGGGGATCGAATCTGTGCAGGATTGCCGAGCCCGGGCTGTCCTTCTGTCCCTCTGTCCTGTCCCTCTGTCCCTGTGCCCCTCTGTCCCTCTGTCCTGTCCCTCTGTCCTGTGCCCTCTGTCCCTCTGACCCTCTGTCCTGTCCCTCTGTCCTGTTCCTCTGTCCTGTCCCTGTGTCCTGTCCCTCTGTCCCTCTGCCCGTCCCTCTGTCCCTCTGTCCTGTCCCTCTGTCCCTCTGTCCTGTCCCTCCTGTCCCTCTGTCCCCTCTGTCCTGTCCCTCTGTCCCCTCTGTCCCTCTGTCCCTCTGCCCTGTCCCTCTGCCTTGTCCCTCTGCCCTGAGCCCTCTGTCCTGTCCTCTGCCCTGTCCCTGTCCCTCTGTCCCTCTGCCTTGTCCCTCTGTCCCTCTGCCCTGTCCCTGTCCCTCTGTCCCTCTGTCCCTCTTTCCTGTCCCTCTGTCCTGTCCCTCTGTCCCTCTGCCCTGTCCCTCTGTCCCTCTGTCCCTCTGCCTTGTCCCTCTGTCCCTCTGCCCTGTCCCTGTCCCTCTGTCCCTCTGTCCCTCTGTCCCTCTGCCCTGTCCCTCTGTCCTGTCCCTCTGTCCCTCTGTCCTGTCCCCTCTGCAGAGGTGGGGATGGCGCCCACCCCCCAAATCCCACACACCCCCAGCTCCTCTCATTCCCTTTCCCCTTAAACTGTGTCCAGCAGCGATGAAACAGGAGAGGTTTACTCCAGGGTCGAGGCACAGCAGAGGGAGAGTTGCAATGACTGAAATTCATGTCTCATCTTGTCCCAGCAGCATTTTCCGTGCAGGTTGCAGCATTCGGATGTCTCTGTCCATCCCGCCTGCTCTGCACCCCCTGGCACTCAGGATGTCACCGCCATGGGACAGAAAACTCAAAATTCACTGCTCAGACTCATCCCAACTCACTGGAATTTCTTGAACCGAAAGAAAAACTCAATTTCCTCTTCCCCAGCCTTGCTTCACACTCATCCTTGGCAAAATCAAACCCCCTCAAGGGCAGCCCAGGTGGGGCAGGCCTTGCTCAGGGACAGAAACATCATCAGTCCTTGGTGAAAGTGCTCCCCGAGGCTTCTGGTCTTCTTTGGCTTCGCTTCTATTCCAAATATTTTGCTTTTCCTTTGGTGCTGCTGTTATTTTTGTTGGGCGAGGGTGTCAAGGCTTTTATTTGAACTTGGGCAACCTCTGAGCGAGAGAGGGGCAGAACTGGGCCTGGACTAGGGCAGYTCMCCTTTCTCCCCTCTGGTGAGTGTTSTCCTCAATAAAAACCAGACCCTCATGGATTTTGGAGCAAAGGGAAGGAGTCAGATTCACCACTACCCACGACATCGCTGGGATGAAGTTTTGATCCAGCAAACAAAGCTGATCCACGGTCTCTGTGTGCCAACATCGGGGCAGGATCAGCCCTTGGGGATGATTCCCCGAGTTTTGGGAAGGACAAACAGCCCCGGGGGCTTTGCTGCTCCGTGCTGCTGCTCTTAAATCCCACCTGGTTCCAGGTTACACTCTTAAGGCCGTGTTGTTGTTGGCCAAGCACTCGAAGGACTTTGAGGAAAGCTTTTTTTTTGCTGTTTCCTCCTTCCTTGAATGGCTCCTTTGAACGGCAGCGCCGCTCCGCTCACATCCCGCTGTCCGCGTTGAATCAATCTCGCGGTCAGCTTTGGGAGAGAGGAAAAAAAAAGAGAAGAAAAAAGCCTCACAAAGAGGGAAAATTGACAGGTCCGACCCTGGGCGTGATTGAGAGTGGTTGGACAAGCAGGAGTGGATGTTGAGCTGCGCTGGGCGATGCCAGCATTCCCCAGGGAAATCCAGCAAAGCCTTTTTTTCCCAGAACGTGGAGCAGTGGGTTTGGAGAGGGGGTGGGCGCATGAACTTAATAACAGCAACACTGTTGGAACATAAAGCATCTGTCAGGAGTTAATATGATTAATTCGAGGTGTCTGTCTCTGCCCCTTTTCCCCTCTCCCTCACTGTAACACGAACCCAGGGAGGGCAGAGGTGGGGCCACAATGGGCACCCGGCCCCATTTCGCCTTTCTCCAGCCAAAACTCCTCATTCTCATCCCATTCAGACCCCCCTCATTTTCTCCCATCACTCCACATCCCCATCCCATTSCTCATCTCTCCCCAAGCCCCATTTGAAGCCCAGGAAAGCAGGTCTCACCCCATCAGGACCCACAGCCTCACACGCACGATGTTCCTTGCATAAAACTCTGGGATTTATCCATGGCCTCGGCTCCTCGTGGACAGAGCCTGGCAGAGCTTGGCTGCTTTTCAGGCCCCCACACAAAACTGAAGCCCCGGGGGTTTGTGAAATTAATTCAGGGATGTCTGGGAAAGGTAACTAGAAATAGGAAGTTAATTGTTGGGAGTTAATTAGTTATACAGCAGCCTGCACTGGCACCTGAAGATTTTAAAGACTCAGCAAACCACAGAAAGGAGAAAMTGCCTGGAAAAAAAGGTGTTGAGGTTCATAAGGGAATTGAGTTGAGGTCACCCCCTCGCCTTGGGTGGCACCAGGACAGGGCACAGGGTCAGGGCACAGGCACTGGACACAGGTTTGGCACAGGGGTGCTGAGCTGTGCTGTGCCAAGCTGTGCCAGGCTGATSTGATCTGATCCAAGCCATGCCACGGGGTGCCAGCTGAGCCATGCCATACCACGATGGGCATGCCATTCCAGCCAGCTGTGCTGTGCCATTCCAAGCCGTGCCAGCAGTGTTGTGTCAGCTGAGCTGAGCCATGCCGTGCCAAGGTGTGCCAGCAGTGCCATGCCGTGCCGAGCCGTGCCAGGCCAAGCCGTGCCAGCAGTGCCATACCATCCAAGCCGTGCCAGGCCAAGGTGTGTCAGCAGCATTATACCGTGCCAGCAGTGCCAAGCCGTGCCGAGCCGTGCCAGGCCAAGCCGTGCCAGCAGTGCCATGCCATCCAAGCCATGCCAGGCCAAGGTGTGTCAGCAGTATTATACCGTGTCATGGCGTGCCAAGCCGTGCCAGCAGTGCCATGCCATCCCGAGCCGTGGCATGCCAAGCTGTGCCAGCAGCATTATACCGTGCCAGCAGTGCCAAGCCGTGCCGAGCCGTGCCAGGC